TTGGAAGAGTCAAGAAAAGAAAGAAAAAAAGAAAATAGGACTGGCCAGGGCAACCTCCCTTGCGGGGGTTGGGGGCTGGCAAAGAAGTAGAAGAAAATAGATGAGATAGACTAGCAAGAGAAGCAGGAGTGTGGGCAGCAGTAGGGGACTTGCCAGTTTTGTAATTTAAAATAACCTGGGAAGTAGCATAGTGGAGGAGGTGAGATGGCTCAGTGGGCCAGGATTCTAGTGTAGCATTTGAACTGTGTAACAGGTACATTTGTCAGGTACCAGGGGAGGCTGAATGTTATCCTTGGGCTTTGATAGGTAACCACAGCTGTATGCAAAGGGAACTGGCCCTTTCCAGTAGGCTGAAACCCATTTCACAGGTTCCTGAGAAATGCTGCCTGTGAGCTTTGATTGATATATCCACCAGAAATCCTCCTAGAGTTCATCTTGAACTAAGCCCAGACTTTCATTTTTGACCAACTAAATTGGCCTTCTATTTTTGGGGATACATGGGGTTTTCCCCTTTAGACCTAACATCGTTGTATAACACTGGGTATAAAACTCAGGTCACTAAGCTTGGTGAGTGACCAAGGCACTTACCTACTGAACCACCTTGCTAAGGGTGTTTTATTTCTTGAGGAATGACCCAATCATTTTTCAAAGTAGGTTGCAGTTTTTCCATCCTTACCAGAAGTGCACAAAAGCTCTAGTGCTTTTCTGCACTCTTACACACCTGTTATTGTATGTCAGTCTTTAAGCAGACAGCCTACTGTATAGGAAATGGTGTCATACTGTGCTTCCAACTTGCTCATACCTAACGACTAGTCATCCTAAACATTGTTTACATCATTACCATTCATCACTACGTCTTTTTTTGAAAAACGGCATATTCAAATCTTTTGCAGATCTTTATTCTGGTTGCCATTCATTTTCATTTTTTTTCTTTTTGTTCTGACTATATGTTCCTTATAGAAAATTTGCAAATTTATCCTCTCATTCTGTGAGTTTTCTTCTCACAGTCTTCATTTTATCTTTGAAAGGCAAAAAAATTCCTACATTCTGATGGAACCTAATTTATCTTTCCTTTCTTTTATTGATACTACTTTTATTGTCATACAAGAGAAACAATTGGTGGGTTTAAGAACACAACAATTTATATCTATGATTTCCTCTAAGTATACTATAATTTTAGCTATTCTATTCAGGATCTTGTTACATTTTGAGTTTATTTTTATATTTAATGCAAGATTGGTCTTTATATGTTTTTATTCTTTACTTTGCCAAATTTCAATTACTTTATTATTTATTTAATAGATGCTCTCTATCTATCTAGTGTGTGCATGTGTGTGGGAGGGAGAGAAGGGAGAAAGAGAGGGAGAGAGAGAGAGAGAGAGAGAGAGAGAGAGAGAGAGATTACCAGCATGCCAGGGCACTGTGATGCCAGAGCACAACTTTTATGAGCAGCTCCTTTCAGTCTGCCTCATGGCCTGAACTGAACTGACTGAACTCAGATCCTCAGGCTTGGTTGCAGACTTCTTTATCCTCTCAGCCACGCTGGTAGACTTGACATGATTCGTTTTCCTGCTAATATCCATATACCTGATCATGATTTATCCATGTGTACCTCTTTGCCTTCAGCTCTCTTCCATTGTTGACTGAATGATCACTTCTATCACTTGAATATTTCCATCACTAAAACTGCTAGATAATAAATTTGGAAGTGGATTACAAATCTAGAAAGTTAAACCTAACGGCATAATCTTTTAATAAACAAATGAACAAAAATATTGATTATATTTGATATAGTGGAGATGTGGCAATCATGGTGTATCTTGTATTTATGCCACATATTTCATCTTATAATTACTTCCTGCATATATCATAAATACTTGTAAACATATGTTTTAACCATTATAATAGTTCCCTTTGTAAGCACTATTTTCTCTTACTTAATTCACCTGCCACTGAATCTCTACAGAAAGAATCTGGGTTCTGGTTCTTATTCATTTACCATTGTCCCTCTGAGACAGTAGTTAAGTATTTAATCTCAAAATTCCTTGATTTCTGCATTTATAATGAGTGGAAAATGCAGAATTTTATAATAGGGATCATGTTTAGCACTCAGTGCATACTGCATACAGCATTCAAATTCTCTCCAAATGCTCGCTTTTAGTATTTTTGAAACGTTATACTATCAGAAGTTAAAATAATAATAAAAATAAAATTCACTAAATATACTTTAGAATTTATTTATAAGTAATATGGGGAAACTAAACCCATTCCAGTAGCTTTATTTCCTGTCATGAAACAGAAGAAAATGTTTGAAAAGCAGAATCTACACATGTTGTTGAATTAAGTTTTATATTGAAACAATGTCTAAGTATGAGGAATAATTAATACTAGTTTCAGGGAAAGAATGAGAACATTTTTGTGTAGCACATCTAATTATACATGAAAAAATCATAATCTATATGCCCATATCTAATATGTTTTTTTCATATATTATGAATCACATATACATTTGACTGTATACATAAACATCAAGTAAAGGCTTTTATTTTGTTAACTAGAAAATACTAGCTCAAAATGCACCTGTTAAGTCCTTAAGGAAAACACCTGTATCAAGCAGATCATGAGCCAACATCTTCATGGCCATATGTGTATGCCTCCTATTTTTAACATAAGAATCACTGATACGACTTCCTTGATTAAAACCGAACATTCTTTCTGAACCTTGCCCAAAGTGCACTGGAGTCCTGGTCTGGCAGACTGTATGCATGAACTTGTAGCATTCCTTCGGTGGCACGTCTACAGCAGAGTTCTCACAAGGCAGAAAAGTGGCAAGGGCATTACGAAGTAAGTTCAAGTTTGCTTATGTTCTCAGTGTCCCACACATACCAGGGAATGTTGAGAAAGATTAGAAACACTCCACCCTTCATTTGAGAAGGAAAGAAACCTATCATATCCATATTAACTCAAGCTTACCACATAGTGTTCCAGTCAGATGTGTGCACACAGATCTGAATTGTCTTACTATACAAGGCAACTTTCCTTTCATACCTGGATATAAAAAGAAGAAAGTCAAATCTAGCTCAAGATCAAGCTGGACCTTGGCAGAATAAGTATTTCACTATTTCAGCATGTTAACTGACATACAGTCAACAATGTGACATTTTACTTAAGGGCAACTGAGATGGACTTAGGTTAAATGATCTTCTTTTTCTGTGTTTGTGTATTTGCAGCATTGTGGACTGGTGTATGTGTGTACTCATGCATGCATTAACACTTATGTGGAGTCCAGAGATCATTAATAAATGCCTTCCTCAGTTGCTCTTCATTTTATCTTCTGGGACAAGATTTCATAACAAATCTGGTATTCACCAATTTCTAGACTCGTCAAGGAACACTGGGGTTCTTCCTGTCTCTGCCTCCCCAGCTCTGGTGTTACATATACATGCCACCACACCTATCTTTTTATGTAGGTGCTGGAGGTCTAAAATCACCTCCTGAAAATTGTGCAGCAAACACTTTACCAACTGAGCTATCTCCCCAGCTCTAGGTGACACTTTCTTGCAACATAGAGGTTCCATAAGTCCAAACCCTGCTGGGCAATCCTCCTCAGTGCTTTATGAAGACTGTCTCACTAAACAACGTAGTAATACCAAGAAAGGGTTAGTGTTCTGATCAACTTCCTTAATCACATTTGTAATTATAAACAATGGATGCAGAGGACTGGGCAAATGGCTCTGCCAGCAGCATGTTTGCCCCAAAAGCGTAAGAGTCTGAGTCCAGATACCCAGCACCACAGTAGAAAACAAGATAAACAAGAAGTTTCACTAGTTGAGCATATACTTTTGTTGTATGTAGGAATATATACATATTAGAGTATTACTCAGCAGTAAAAAACAAGGACTTCTTGAATTTTGCATACAAATGGATGGAAATAGAAAACACTATCCTGAGTGAGGTAAGCCAGACCCAAAAAGAGGAACATGGGATGTACTCACTCATATTTGGTTTCTAGCCATAAATAAAGGACATTGAGCTTATAATTCATGTCCCTAGAGAAGCTAAATAAGAAGGTGAATCCAAAGACAAGCACATAGGCATCCTCATGATTATTAACCTTCATCAGGCGATGAAAGGAGACAGAGACAGAGACCCACACGGGAGCACCGGACAGAAATCTCAAGGTCCAAATCAGGAGCAGAAGGAGAGGGAGCATGAGCAAGGAACTCAGGACCGCGAGGGGTGCACCCACACACTGAGACAATGGGGATGTTCTATCGGGAACTCACCAAGGCCAGCTGGCCTAGGTCTGAAAAAGCATGGGATAAATCCGGACTAGCTGAACATAGCGGACAATGAGGAATACTGAGAACTCAAGAACAATCGCAGTGGGTTTTTGATCCTACTGCACGTAATGGCTTTGTGGGAGCCTAGGCAGTTTGAATGCTCACCTTATGAGACCTGGATAGAGGTGGGCAGTCCTTGGGCTTCCCACAGGTCAGGGAACCCTGATTGCTCTTCGAGCAGATGAGGGAGGGGGACGTGACCGGGGGAGGGGGAGGGAAACGGGAAGCGGTTGCGGGGAGGAGGCAGAAATCCTTAATAAATAAATAAATTTAAAAAAAAATAAAAAAAAAAGAATGGCATTTGAGAAAAAAAAAAGAAGTTTCACTAGAAGACGTGAGATAATAAGAGTCCTGAGCTCCCTGGCCAGCCAGTCTAACCCGTCCATGATCTCTATGTTCAGTGTCTCAATAAAGTAGAGAGTGACAGGGGAGGACATATCTCCAGTATCAACCCGAATGCTCATCTGCACATGTGAACACATACACAAGAATAGATTTGATCTGCCTCAAAATTAGTAAGAAGCCCATTGTCTGATTTTTTTAAACACTGCTCACACAGTGCTTTGTGCAAGGAAAGAATGAGCAGGCCTTATACATACCTCAAGTAGCTTAGTGGCTATGTGATTGAAAGTATGTTCTCGTCTTCTTTTTTTGCAGAGATTTCAGCTCTTTTTGATTCCGGCAGCTCAGTTATATACATGTTTCAAGAACCATACCCGGTGACCAAGAACACAAGCCTGTCATCTTCAGCTATCTACGCAGATACAGCTCCATCAAAGGAAACCATCACACTGAGCTTTGTGACAGCACAGGCCCCCAGCCTCTTGCTCTTCCTCAATTCCTCTTCTCATGATTTTCTGGCTCTCCTGCTCTGCAAAAATGGTGAGTGTTGGTGGCAGGAAGCCACAAGACCAGCCTTGATGGAAGGTACAGCTCCTGCTCAGCAATGCCATGCACAGCCTAGCAGCTGGGCAGCCTCAGCAGAATGCTTCCTTCCACTTTACCTTCGTGAGCCATAATTCGTATCTTGGGACCATGTTCATTTGCCATCAAGATATCAAACTCATCAACTTTAATTTGTCTTGATTATGTTGTGGTAACTCTTTATTGTGCTGTAACCCATTAAGTATAAAAGGTCATAGGGAGGTCTGAATTTCAGAAGGGCAGTTTCCACATGTATCTGTCATCTTTGCTGCCATGCTCTTAACTGTGGCCTGGCAAAGCATAAATAGTGGTTGGTTTATAGATGGGCATTGTCTAGGTTTTCAGAGAAGTAGGATGTGGGAGCCATATGCTGTGGCACAGAACCTCACTTCTGAGAATCTGACTTTCCGTTAGACACCAACTCTTTCTCCATAGTCACTGACTGTTAATCTGTGATATTTGCCACACTGAAATGGCAAGGCTTAGAGTATTCTAATTAGCTAAAGAGCACTACTGATTCATAAATGGAATTTTGCTATTTCTTTCAATTCTGGCAATTATTTCAATTATTTGTAAAACGTATGCCTTCTTCCAGGGCTTAGTCCCCTGAAATCACATGCATAGATGAACTCATGTCTTTTGAAGGCTACAGTTTGTTGTTATCTTGCTTCTTTGCTGTTGACATTCCCAGTGCAATAGAATTTGCAAAGGAACCTTCTCTTCTTGGTTTTCGAGCTATCTACAGCATCTAGCTGTCGAGATGTTCATGAGCACATGATGATGATGTGAATTGACCTCTGGAAAGAAGGGACCTCATGGATACAAGAATGTTTTAAAAAGACAGAAATTGTATCATGCAAGAAATATTGATGGTAACACATACAGCAGTAGTTGAAAGTCAAGCTTTATGATCATATGATTTCTTTTTAATCACACTATTCCAGGACAGAACCTCCTAATAGAGCTGACCAAGTACTCTATGAAATCAGAATCCTACTGTGTATAGCTGTTTGAACAAATGAGCTACTGAAACATATACATACTTCCCTATCACATGATCTCACACAAGCACTATCCTGTGGTTAGGAATATGGTTCTATTCCATGTACCATGACAGGATTTCAGACATTTGAACAATTCATCTCAACCACAAAGCTAAGATCTATGGTGGAGGGTGGTGTGGTCCAGCAGAAGTGACACACATGGAAGGCAGCATGAACACGACCCTGTCTGCATCTCAGGTGCAAACTACGTTGGTTTTTTTTTTTTTTTTGGTGTTTGTTTTTTTTTCTTTCTGTGTGTGCGTTATCTTTCTCATAGTGTACTATGTATGATTTGAATATAAAGAACTATTCATTTATTCATAATAATTGATAATGGAACATGGGGAATGTGGAGGATGAACCAGCCTAAAGGTCAAAAATAATAATCGAGAGCCCATAAGATGATACAGATGTCATTTATTCTGAGACTAAAATAGATGGGAAAAAATAAAATATGAATAGGCAAGAAAGAAGGGAGAGAAAGAGAAGAGAATAATGAGGAGGAGGTAAAGGAAGAGGAAGCAGAGGAGTAGAGCAAAGAGGAAGGGAGGAGAAAGACAAAAATGGGAGGAAGAAGAAGGTAAAGAGGAGGAGGTTTGATTAAGTTTTCAAGCCCAAGGGCCCTTTAATCACCCGCTTCTCACTTTTAAGGTTATGTACAAAAATATGCCAACAGATTCGATCTTGAGTCTTGCCATGTCAAGCCTTTTGAGTGTCTGAGGCTGTCTTTGGACCATGGGCATGGACAATTCGAGCAGGTACATATTGGGCAGACAGATAATCCATGGAACTGCTAGAATGGTCTCCTTAGAGTCAGCCAGTACTCTCCCTTCTAACCTGTATCTCTTTCTCCTGGTGTTTTTGGGCCACAGTAAGATGGGTATACAGACACAATTGTCCCCGAAGTGTTTCTAGAGTAGGCCTTCACATGCCTGCACCACTCACAGTATACTTCTGATAATATAACTGCCAAGAATACATGAAATGCACAACAGGAATCACCGCATCCAATTATTCTAATGAGGCCATACTGTGCTTAACTCTCCTAGTATCTGGCTCGCCATTGAAATTAATATTCTTGCTGTGGCAGGTTTCTACAGTTCTAGAAACTTGAGGTACAGGGACATCAAATAACTTGTTCATAATAGCACAGAGTTTATTTTGAGATTTTGGAGAGAAAAACTAGTTTCACAGTTTTGAGACTGATTTGAAGCAAGTTGACTTAAGTATTGACTAGAAAAATTAACTCTGGTCAGAATCACTCTGATTTCCTGCGAGAGTCACACTTTAAAAAGACAAACCTTTGCATTTCCTATCAGGTCCAATCAGAGGCAAAGCTACATCCTGATGTATGTACCTCCCATATACATGTGATCAAGTACATCTGGTGTAGTAGGAAAAGGAAAAAAAAAAACTCTTGTTTTGAGAGGTAAAAACACCAGACATATTGTTTCCCCAAAACTATGACTCCCCGAATTTTAAGAAGTTACCTTGCCCATGGACATGTGGGCTTACAGAAGAACCTTAGCTCTTACAACAACAAACAAGCTTCAGCAAGGGGATGCAACCTCCCTTACTCAGCCCAATGCCATAGTATTTGGTTGTTTGGTTTATTCTTGTGGGAGACTTTCCTTGGAACTCTCAGGCTTGCTGCCCCAGCCCCTGAGTGGTGGGATTATGGATGTGCACCACCACAGCAAGTCTGTTTTCTTAGTTACTAGGGCTGGATGAAAAATGCTAATCCTTTAATCTTTGAAACGCATAATTCTTTTAAATAATTGACATTTCTTTAGTGGGAAATCATTCTTGAATCCTCCCTGGAATATTTACTTGTGTCTTCCTTTCAATACGTCCTTAAAGTCTCTACTGCAACCAACTTGACCATATAAATACTTACATTTAAAAAACTCCAATGAAATTCAGAAATCAGAGATGCATAGATCCTTACTATTGACTGTGGAGGACTCAGGAAGATGTGAAAGCTCAGGTATGCAGCATGGCTTCTCTGGCTAACAGAAGAGGCTCTTGATACAGAAACCTTCCTTTTCCCAGCCCAGGAATTTAACTTGCACATTTTCTGTTTGATCACATGTTTTATTCAGGGGGAGGGATTTCTCTGCTAAGGGGCTTTTATACACTCATTGATTCCCTTCCTCTAACCCCTGCCCTCCCACCACCCTTGTACCCCATGCAGTGGGCAGTCAGGTAGTGTAGAAGATGGTGAATTCAGCATCTGTGGTGCTTCCACCCATCTCCTTATTGTTGACCGCTTTTGGGTGGGCTACTCAGTCTAGAGATTGTAACCCACCCTGCAGTCAGTTATTCCAGGGTCCCGGAGAGGCACTATCTGGAATATATGAGCTGAGAGAGAGGAAGAAGGCCATGCAAGGTTTGTCAGAGCCTCCGTTTATTAGAGACGGGGTACAGCTTATATAGGGTAAGGAGTTGGGGGGTGGGCACAGGGGCTTGGGCTCTTGCCACGTGGTTCATGTTGGTCACGTGGTCCAGGTTACCTTCGGTCAGGTCACATAGGCCAGGAAGTCACAACTAGGAGTTGACCACACCTAGTTCTCTAGATAGTTTGGAATGTGGGGTGGGTTCCGCTAACAGATAGCTCTCCATTAACAGCCAATTTGGGTATGGGGTAGGCTCTGTCAATAGAACGATTCCTAACACAATTAGGGGTGTGGGGTTCTCTGCAGACTCCCCAGGGTGATGGTTCCTGCAATAATCCTAGGAGAAAGTGGCTCCTGACACCTTATCACTCAACACACAGCTAAGACATTATCCCCATTGTTTCCTTAATTCTCCTGGTGGTATCACTAGAATGACTAATGTGAGAGATTTGAGGAGTAGGTGAGATGCAAAATAACAACCAGCAACCTAGTGCTGTCTCCAAATGAGACATATGAAAAGAGACAGATTCAGAAACTGCCCAAAATGTGCAAAAAACAAACTAGACAGACTTGGAGTGATCTGATTTCTGTAGTAGTAGACTAGCTAGAAAGAAGTCTTTGACTAACATTAACAATAGACTTCAGAGCTTAGAAATTATACTATTGAAACAAAAGCCTTTAGTGGTTTTAAGTTCCTTACCATTAGAGGTCTTCAAATAACAATTAAGTGACATTTGCTGAGGAAACTATAGTAATTTGAGGAGTAGGTGAGATGCAAAATAACAACCAGCAAGTGTTTAATTTCTTCCTAAGTCTTAGATTTTGGGATTTTTTTTTTATTCCCACCTTGAATCATCTCCCATGGATATTTCTGTCTGTGAAGGCTTCATTTGCAGATTTTGAAATGCTGCTTGAGGAATTATCAAGAATTCCTATTTTCAGCATGTTCCTAGTTTATTTACAGCATTAAGCCATTGACCTGATTAACAGTGGGCCAGAAACTAAGAACATTTTAATGAAATTTGGGTTTATTTAGTGAAAAATGTGCATCTGAGCCCAAAGCAGTGGCCCACTGCTGGAAGTGGAGGCAGGAGGACTAACGTTTAAGGACAAATTCAGTTATGTAGCATGTTCAAGACCTTCCTGGGCTACTTGAAACCCTGTCTCAAAAAAAAAAAAAAGAAGAGAATCAGTTTCCCTTTGGGCATCAGGGGTCCTTACAAGTTGAAGGAAGGTAAGGAGAATGAAAGTTCAGTTGGTGAAGATGTTTACCCTGAAACCTTCTGGAATTGGGATGCACTCACAGCAATCCCTGGGCAGAAGCAACAGTCTTGTGTTAGAAAGATTATTACTTTGTCTGGTTTTAAGGTACTTTTGGCAATTTGGTGGTGATGCTAAGATGGCCAGCTTAAAAGGGGTCCCATTTTGTCTCTCAGTAGGATGCAAACTCTAACGCCAGCACTGTGGCTAAGAAGCCACAGTGTAGAGTTAAAAGGATAAATCTTGTGAACAGTCAACA